CCCCTCCCCACCACACACACACACACATCCCTGTGCTCCGCAGATGTCCGCCCCTCTGCGGGATCCGGCCTCTGTACTTCGGGCCAGCCCCTCCCCCCCCCCTCCCCGGGGGGATGTGGTGCAACCATCCATCGGGGTTGCGAATGCTGCCTTGCAACGCGGGGGCCACAACGGCAATCCCACCTGCCTGCTCGCTCCCTCAGGGAGTCATGGGCTGCGTGGCGAGTCTTCCCACTGCCATTGCCCCTCTCCGCTGCCCTCGCCCCTCCCGACCGCTCCTCGCGCACCCATCACTGACAACTATGCCCCCCCCCTTACTGTAGGCGAGCTTGTCCTACGCCCCCCCCCCCCCTCCCCCCGAGAAAAGGAGCAAGAGATCCATAGCCGCAGAAAGGCTCGAAGAAGGCACGCTGCTCCATGCCGCCCCCAAGCCAATTGACCAGAGCCAACACCGTGAGAAGGCGAGGAGGGACAGTTACCGGAGTAGGAAGATGGCTGAGCGGCTGCCAGGGGACAATGGTCCTGGCTCTCCGCCTTGACAGCTTTCCAGCGCGGCAGATTGCAGCGCCTTCGCCCCGCCCCCGGCCACTGGTCTACCCCCCCGGGGAAAGGATGAGACGTATCCGGCTCTTGGGCGCCCTGGTTGGACGCGCGGCTGCCACCATTGCATTTCCAGCTGGACATTGCGACCCCGAATGTCACCCAGGCCCCCTCCCTGGGGGACACTCTCGCCCGATCCTGGGCGATCATCCGTGTGCCCAATGTCCCGGCCTTGGCCTGCCCAGTGTCCATGATCACCGTCCGGGGACAGTGTGTCGCTCGTGCTCTCTCTCTCTCCCCCCCCCCCCTCCCTTCTCCCGATCCCTGTCCGGCTCCCGATCGGGGCTCCCACCCGGCTTTGTTGGAGACACCCCCTGCCTCTCTGCACGCACGCGCACACGCACACACATGTCTTTTCCCCCTCCCCCTCTGACCCACCTGGCCTACACGGCGTGTACCTGCTTCACCACAGAACCGAGCGTCTATCTATCTCCCTGGTGCGGCCCTTGGATGTGTGCACACCCTGCCCTGACTGATGCTGTCACTCTCTTTCATCGAAGCCACATGCGTGCGCGCGCATTCGGGCGTCCACTAATCACTCATAGATCTCTGTCTTTCCCCGCGACTGCTTCCAGGCCGCTCGATCCCTGCCCATCACTTGAGCTTCCCCCCCCCCCCCCCCCCTCCCGGCACTCCCATCGCCTAGTGTGTTGAGCCCGCGCCCATCGCCAGGATGTTGGTCTCCAGATTGCTTCCAGTGGGCACCCGGTGCGCCTTGCCTCTCTCGCCCCGCTCTCCTCCCCCGCCATCGACCTGCCTGTGGCGGGCTGCCTGATCGAGCCCCCCACATCACGCGCCCCGGCCTACAAGGCCTTTTGCGCCACCAAGCTGCCACCCACTTCACACCTAGCTCCTTCTCCAAGGACTCCACTACATCTCCCCTCCGCTCACATAGCACACCCGTGCCCTGTCTCTCCCCCCCCCCTCCCCTCCCCTTTCCCCCGTCCCCCC